TATTTCCAAATGATTATAACTTTAGAACAATTAGTGATAGACACATAGGGTCTTGAGTAATAACTATGGGAACATATGGCCTACTGAAAGGTCAATGGTCAAATATGACCTTGATCTTTTTTTTTCAATTTATTCAATAGAGAGACTCCTAAAGGGGTTTTTAATTATGGGAATTTGTTTGGGAGACTTTGTAACAGGATGCATCCAGTTTTTGGTTGGGTTCATGTTGCTTAGTTTTTAGTTTTCTACGTTGTGTCTTGTGTACTATTATTTGTCTGTTTGTCTTTTTATTTTTTAGCCATGGCATTGTCAGTTTATTTTCGATCTATGAGTTTGACTGTCCCTCTGGTATCTTTCGCCCCTCTTCTGTTACAATCATTTCTTGTTTTGATTTGTATAAAATATAAGAATCAGTTTTAAAACCATATGATCCTTAAATTAAATCAAAGTACTGAAGTACTGAACATCGGATGACCACAAGTTCTTGAGGATGGTCAAAAGCACTTGTCTCAGAAAAAAACAACATATCTCTTTACCTAAAACTGAGGTTAATGTACAGAGATATATTTTTTTCTAAGACAAGTTCGTGCGTGGATGATGAATAAATGACAGGAAATTCAACTTCACCGTAATAACTATTATATTGTAGTGATACAAATCAGTATACACTGAGTTGTTGTTTATATTATATTAAAATTACAGTTACATATATATATGATTTGAATCCATTTGTATATCATTCTATTCTACTATTCTAAAAATGATGCAATGCAAGTGCATGGTGGACACTTTTCTGTAAAAATTCGATTTTTCTAAGATTGGATACGAGTAGGCATTCATATTTTCCCGCAAAATAAATTACAGAGTTACCGGTCCTTGACGGTATTTTCACAAAACGTTCTTTGAGATATTCTTCCGCATGCTTTAACACAATTTTTCGGTACGTGTGCATTGATATTATCAATGATTTTTTACTTATATATATATATCTAACTAAAAAACATTTTCATATTATTAATTTATGTTGTAAACAAAAATATTTTTATCAGTATTCATTGAAGAGATGTATTTATATCAAACGATAAGGAATGTTATTTTGCACTCGTTTATGTGCGCGTATTTATCATGTTTATAGATCGGTTACAAACCCAAAACTAATTTACATAATGGAAATCTAGGCGATAGCAATACATCGGGATGACCTCAAGGTCATCGCGATGTAAAAAACAGCTGGTTAGTGTGAGTATGTAGGATCAATGAGGCATTCTGGTAAAATAATTGCATTTAAATTTGCAAGAAATTATTTAATGCAAAGCAACTATGTAAACAATATGAATTATATAGTTCACATGTTTATACACACTCTACCAAATGGAATCAATTCCAAAATTAAGTAATAATTCTTTCATGTCATGCACTTTGCTCATTTTAACGTGGGTATGCATTATATTATATCTTTACACAGAGTGTTATGTTGATAAATTTAATGCCTACCCATGTTAAAAGGAGCATAGAGCATTATATGGAGGAATAATTTTGATTCTAATAGGAAAAATTCAGAATTGTACTTCAAAGATACATTTGAAAGGCAGCCATTTTGATTTGATGACGCAAAAATGATATAGAAAACCCATAGTTTCATGATTTAAAAGAGTACAAATAAATACGAAGACAGTGATGAGACTTCCTTTTAGAATGATTTTATTTAATTTCTGTTTGAGAAATGCATTTTGAAAGTACAACTTACCTTGCAATTTTGATTTTGACATTATGCATATGTACTCCATGTTTTATTGGAATTAGAACATTGCTTTGCTTGCAAAGTAAAAGAAGATCTTCATACATCATATTAGAATATTATAAAATGTTGCAATTACAAAAAGGCAGGTGCAGGGATAGAACAGCTTTTTATACGACCACAAAATTTTTGCGTTCATACTATGTTATGGCAATGTCTGCGTCGTCTTCCGAAGACATTTTGGGTCTCAGACAATAGCTTGAGTATAAGTGAATGGATCTCTATGAAATTTTAGCATAAGGTTCCATATTACAGTAGGAAGGATGGGATTGATTTTGGGGGTTATTGTCGTAGCTGTGTAGTAATTAAGGGCCACAAAGGTGCTAAAAACAAGCATTTTTCTTGTTGCCCGAAAAGACATTTTGGTTTGCAGACAATAACTTGAGTATGAGTATATGGATCTCTATGAAATTTTAGGGCAAGGTTCCATATCACAATAGGAAGGTTGGGATTGATTTTGGGGTTATTGTCTTAGCTGTTTAGTAATAAAAGGCCAAAAAGGGGCCAAAAACAAGCATTTTTCTGGTGAGCTGACAATAACTTGAGTAAAAATGTATGGATCTCTAAGTAATTTTACCACAAGCTTACATACTTCAAAAGGAAGGTTCCGTTTGATTTTGGTGGTCATGGCCCAAATCGTTTAGGAATCAGGGGCGGAAAAGGGGCCAAACTAGGATTTTCTGGTTTCTGGACAATAACTTGAGTATAAGTCTATGGATTGTTATTTAATTGTGCCACAAGGATTTATACCATACAAGAAAGTTTGGGATTGATTTTGGGGGTTATGACCGTAACTGTTTTAGGAAAAAGGGGCCAAAAGCAATACTTTTGTAATACTTTGTATGTATAAATTGCTAGAATCTAGAATTTGGATTTTTTCGGCCCTGTTTTTTAATTGGTCCATATTAAGGTCTAAAGGGTCCAAAATTAAACTTTTTGATTTCATTATTAATGTTCTTTGATATGCTGAATATAACCGTGTATTTAGATTTGTAATTTCGGGGCCTGTCTTCAAATTGGTCCACATTAAGGTCCAAAGGGGTCCAAAATTAAACTTTGTTTGATTTAATAAAAAATGAATTCATGCAGTTCTTTGATATGCCTAATTTAAGCATGTATTTAGATTTTTGATTTTGGGCACAGTTTTCAAGTTGGTCCAAATTGGGGTCCAAAATTAAACTTCGTTTGATTTCTTCTGAAATTTAATTCTTGGGGTAACTGTCTTTGATATGCTGATTCCAACCATGTATTAAGAATTTGGATATTGGACCATGATTGGAAAAGTCTAATTTTGAATTATTTAAGTACTTAGACCACATTCATTCTGTGTCAGAAACCTATGATGTGTCAAATATTTAATGACAATCCAAATTCAAAGCTGTATCAAGCTTGAATGTAGTGTCCATACTTGCCCAAACTGTTCAGGGTTAGACCTCTGCTGTCACATCAAACTGCACCCTGCGGATCATTTTATTGTGATTACAAAATTACATTTTTATTGAATCATCAAAATTATTATTAATTTGGGAAAGAATACTTATTTCAATGGAAGCAATGGCCGTCTTTAACCTTTGGGGTACCAGACTCTTTGAGGTAAATTATATGGCCTTCCAAATACTGTTTCGATTCCTAACATCACTGAAGAGACATTAATTGTCGAAATCCGGATATGGTGTACAAAAATCTTTGCACCTTTTGTTTGCGGTATACCATCTTTGTCGCAAGTTTATTGTTTTCTGTTTGGTATTAATTTATAAATAAGATCCATTTATTACACCTGGTGATCCGTTTATTTGGCAATCGCCAATGGCAGTCGGCAGGGTTTAAGAACATTTGCTGTTCGACCTGTTAGTCAAATGCATTTTGTTAAAATATACTTTTTTCACTTTTTTGGTCTTTTGGAAAAATGTTGTTTGTGCTGTATTTAGACCCCTCTAACAAGAAATTTGTTTTGCATGCACACGTATAAAAATTGCGGTTTTTATCCAACGCAATCATAGGTTTGAACGTTGTTTTCAATTTAGACTTGTTTATATTTTTTCGTTTGGGCTTGTATTATATTTGCCTTCGGGTTGATATGATCAGTTCATCCTATTTTGACTCCTCAAAATTCAAGAGTCTATCCTAAATTGAGGTAAATTATATGGCCTTCCAAATACCGTTTTGATTGCTAACATCACTGAAGAGACATTAATTGTTGAAATCCGGATATGGTGTACAAAAATCTTTGCACCTTTTGTTTGCGGTATACCATCTTTGCAGCAAGTTTATTGTTTTCTGTTTGGTATTAATTTATAAATAGGATCCATTTATTACACCTGGTGATCCGTTTATTTGGCAATCGCCAATGGCGGTCGGCAGGGTTTAAGAACATTTGTTGTTCGACCTGTTAGTCAAATGCGTTTTGTTAAAATATACTTTTTCACTTTTTTGGTCTTTTGGAAAATGTTGTTTGTGCTGTATTTAGACCCCTCTAACAAGAAATTTGTTTTGCATGCATACGTATAAAATTGCGGTTTTTATCCAACGCAATCATAGGTTTGAACGTTGTTTTCAATTTAGACTTGTTTATATTTTTTCGTTTGGGCTTGTATTATATTTGCCTTCAGGTTGATATGATCCGTTCATCCTATTTTGACTCCTCAAAATTCAAGAGTCTATCCTAAATTGAGGTAAATTATATGGCCTTCCAAATACCGTTTCGATTCCTAACATCACTGAAGAGACACTAATTGTCGAAATCCGGATATGGTGTACAAAAATCTTGCACCTTTTGTTTGCGGTATACCATCTTTGCCGCAAGTTTATTGTTTTCTGTTTGGTATTAATTTATTACACCTGGTGATCCGTTTATTTGGCAATCGCCAATGGCGGTCGGCAGGGTTTAAGAACATTTGTTGTTCGACCTGTTAGTCAAATGCGTTTTGTTAAAATATACTTTTTCACTTTTTTGGTCTTTTGGAAAAATGTTGTTTGTGCTGTATTTGGACCCCTCTAACAAGAAATTTGTTTTGCATGCACACATATAAAAATTGCTGTTTTTATCCAACGCAATCCTAGGTTTGAACGTTGTTTTCAATTTAGACTTGTTTATATATATATATATAACATGTATAAGAAAAAAGTACTACTGGACTTCTCATTTTATTTCTATTTCAACTTGAAAACATTATAATCCAACATTGGTATGTTTTATTTTTAGCTAAAGACAATGGTGAGAATGATGGAGGAATACCTACTGGAACTATTGTTGGAGTTGTAGTTGCAATATTAGTATTTGTGATAATAACAATAGTTATTGTTCTTGTTCTAAGACACAAGAGAAAAGGTAAATTTTATAGTTAAGGTAGATTAACTGTATACCGCCATCTTGGATTGTAAATTAGCAGTTCACAATAGGTCTAGTTCTTATCTTAAATCTGCAAATTTTGAGACAGATTGGCAATTAATGGGTTAGACTGTTTATTGGAATAAAGAAAAACAAGTTATTTATTGTATTATTCAGACTGATTTATCAAATACCAAAATTTTGTGTTTGTTCGAATCAAATTGTCAACTTGGCCATTTAAGGAGAGAGAACTCATATAGTAAAATTTTTTATAAAGGAATGATAGACAAATTTTCAAATTTTACTTGTAGCAGGAAAACAAGGTCGGTAACACCATTTTTTCTTTTTATCATCTTAAAGCATACTTTAAAACCTATCTTCTCATATTCTGGAATTCAAATTAGCGGTGGTCCGAGGTCCGTGACCTTCCACTGTTGCAATCAGACTTTCGTTTTGGTTACTAGCTACGCCCGATGGACCTTCGATATTAAAGGAAATAAAAATGATCTTTGCTGGCCTTTTTAACCATCTGTATCGTCATTTTAAGCCATATTATTATTGAAATTGAGATAAAAAAATGTTTCATCCCTGACCTTGCCGACGAGTGATAAAAGTTATTTTTAACCTTGTATTTTTTGGAAACACAAGGTTATAAATACTTGCGAGAAGTCACGTGACAAATCATTTAATCATTTAGACATTTTCTAACAAAATGAGTGCGTTTCACTTTGGTGTCGCGTCTTCCAAGAGAAAGCCTGAAGATTATGAACGGTCTTCAACCACAGGCACTTGTTTCTATCCATGGGAAGGTCGACTATCCATAAATATAGAAGGATATTCAACCTTCCCATGGATAGAAACAAGTGCCTGTGTCTTCAACGTTTTCAAAAGAAATTAAATGAAGATCTCACTAAAGACCAAAAAATGCGATCGTGAAAAACGGGAACGGACATTTAAGCCCCACTGGAAAATTGATCGAACCGTGGCTATATTTTGATGAATCAACTGGTCTAATGTCATGCACATACTGCCAGAAGTTTCCCACCCATTCAGAAAAAGAAAGTGCACTTGTAAGGGGAACACAAAATCTTAAAATAGACCCAATAAAAATATACGAAGTGACACCCCAGCATTTATCTTGTTTTAAGCAGTGGATCCATGAAAGTGACCCAAATTTTAAGTCTAAAGATTAATTGTCAGACACTAAACTTGGACAATGTATTCTCAAGCAGCAATGTAAGCCGGGATGTAAACCTGATCAGTTAAATAGATACAAGGTTCTTTTCAACACTGCATACAGCATTGTAAAAAAGGGAAACCCTTCAGTGACTATGAATTTATTCTTGAAATCCAGTGCAAAAATGGTGTTGATGTGTTAGGAGTACTTAAATATTGAAGGTTGTAAACTGTTTATTCGCTGGATAGCCCATTATATGAAAAACGAAACATCACATGCAGTTCAAATATGATGAAACAAACTAACCTTACTCCAAAAGCACATTAATTTTGTATCTTATTGAGTTATGAAATATTTCATGAAAAAGTAGGACCTGGGATTTAGGTTGTGGACCTTTCAGTTTGGAGTGTCAAAGGTCCTGGACCTTCCAGTACCAAATGTTAATTTGAACCCCTGATATTTTATTTCAAAATTCTATCTCATAGATTTCATTTTATTTACAAAAAAGTGTTTTTTCATGAACAATATATGCAAACTTGGGCAATTTTGCATGACTTGAAGCTTGAAAAATAGCACTAGTATCAAGAATTTGGATTTTGGGCCCTGTTTATGAATTGGTCCATATTTAGGTCTAAAGGGTCCAAAATTAAACTTTGTTTGATTTCATTAAAAATTGTTTATTGATGTTCTGTGATATGCTGAATATAACCGTGTATTTAGATTTTTAATTTCGGGGCCTGTCTTCAAATTGTTCCACATTAAGGTCCAAAGGGTCCAAAATTAAACTTTGTTTGATTTAATAAAAAAATGAATTCATGCGGTTCTTTAATATGCTGAATCTAAGAGTGTATTTAGATTTTTGATTTTGGGCACAGTATTCAAGTTGGTCCAAATTGGGGTCCAAAATTAAAATTTGTTTGATTTTATCAAAAATTGAATTGTTGGTGTTCTTTGATATGCCCAATCTAACAGTGTTTTAGATCTTATTTTATTTCAAAATTCTATCTCACAGATTTCTTTTCATTTACAAAAAAATGTTTTTTCATGAACAATATACATGATAAATGCGAATTTGGGCAATTTTGCACGACTTGAAGCTTGAAAAATAGCAGTGACCAATACTTTTTATTATATTTTTGAAAAAAGCATGGAAAAATCTACATTCTGGCAAAGTATAAGAAAGTTCTATCTGAAAAAATATATACCAATGACACACCTTTGGTTTTGTTCATAAAAAGAATAATACATGCATTGTATAGGATTCTGGTCTCTTATCATTACTTATCATTACTTATATTTTTGGAATTATATAGACAGTAGATACCAAAGGGATATTCAAGCTCATTGTTGAAGGCAAACTAACAACACCATGGCAAAATAAAAATTGATTTTACTTCAATAAAATGTGACACAATTTCAGTTTTGTCTCACCTGCAACATAAGTTACAGAATACGAGACAGGGATTACAGTCTGACAACTTTAGGGTAAACTATTTGTACAAAGCTTTAGATATCAGAGGTAGTAGCAGTCTGTCATATGACCATTGTCCTTGATGTCATTTTCATGGTTGAGCAACTGTGTGAAAAAAATTTAAAGACTTATTTTGTCATATAAAATAATCACTTATGAGCAATAGAATAAATATATTTGGTATATGGTATCCTTGCAAGGCCTATATGTGCGTCAGACAGGGTTCATCTTGTGGTCAAGCCCTTATCTGAGATATTATAAGCAATAGGTCAACTATATTTGGTGTGTGGAATGATTGTAAGGTGTACATGTGAGCCTGGCAGGTTTCATCTTTTCCCCCATGTTCATGGTTCATTGGTCAGTGAAAAGTTTTTGTGGTTTGGTCTGTTTCTTTGATACTGTCAACAATATAGCAGCTGTATTTGGTTTCAGGAATGATTATAAGGTGTACATGTCTGTTTGGCAGGTTTCATCTGACTTCAACTTTTTTTCATGGTTCATTAGTTAATGTTTAAGTTTTTATGGTTGTGTCTGTTTCTCAGATACTATAAGCAATAGGTCAACTATATTTGGTGTATGGAATGATTGCATGGTATACATGTCTGTTTGGCATGCCTCATCTAACCTTACATTTTTTTCTCACCTGTGACGAAAGTCGCAGTATGCGAGACATAGGTATTACTATCCGGCAGCAGCAGCGTAAACTATTTGTATAAACAATATTTCAGAAGGTAGAAGACCTGGATGCTTCATATCTTGTATGCAGATACCTTATGTTACGAAGTTTCCGTCAACTTATTATGAGTAACAGGATAACTATATTTGGTATATGGGTTCCTTGCAATGTCTACATGTCCGTCAGACAGAGTTCACCTGACCTCGACCTCATTTCATGGATCAGTGATCAAGGTTAAAGTTACGTGATTAGGTCCATTTCTCAAATACTATAAGCAGTAGATCAACTATATTTGGTGTATGGAATGATTGTAATAAGTGCATGTCAGTCTGGCAGGTTTCATCTGACCTTGACCTCATTTTCATGGTTCATTGGTCAATGTTAAGTTTTTGTGTTTTTGTCTGTTTTTCAAGTACTATAAGCAATAGGTCAACTATATGTGGTGTATGGAATGATTGTACGGTGTACATTTCTGTCTGGCATGTTCCATCTGACCTTGACCTCATTTTCATGGTTCATTGGTCAATGTTAAGTTTTTTGTGTGTTGGTCTGTTTTTCAAGTACTATATGCAATAGGTCAACTATATTTGGGTATGGAATGATTGTAAGGTATACAAGTCTGTATGGCAGGTATCATCTGACATTGACCTCATTTTCATGGGTCATTGGTCAGTGTTAAGTTTTTGTGTTTTTGTCTGTTTGTCAAGTACACATGTACTATAAGCAATAGGTCAACTATATTTGGTGTATGGAATGATTGTACGGTATACATGTCTGTCTGGCAGGTTACATCTGACCTTGACCTCATTTTCATGGTTCATTGGTCAATGTTAATTTTTTTGTGTTTTGGTCTGTTTTTCAAGTACTATAAGCAATAGGTCAACTATATTAAGTGTATGGAATGATTGTAAGATGTACATGTCTGTCTGGAAGGTATCATCTGACCTTGGCCTTATTTTTATGGTTCAATGGTCATTGTTAAGTTTTTGTGTTATGGTCTGTTTTTCAAATACTTATAGCAATAGGTCAGCTATATTTTGTGTATGGAATAATTGTTAGGTGCACATGTCTGTCTGGCAGGTATAATCTGACCTTGACCTCATTTTCATGGTTCATTGGTCAATGTTAAGTTTTTGTGTTTTGGTCTGTTTTTCAATTAGCATACCCAATAGGTCAATTATATTTAGTGTATATAATAACTGTAAGGTGTATATGTCTGTCTGACACAATTTATCTGACCTTGACTTCATTGTCATAGATCTTTAAAAATGTTAAGTAAGTATCTGTAATGCTTTTAGTAAAACCTTTATCTATAAGACTTTCAACAAAAAATCAGTAAAGCAGGAGAGACATTTCAGCGTGTGCACTCTTGTTATGGTTTATTTGGCAGAAAATTTCCAAACCTTTTTAGGAGAGCTACAGCCATGTCATTAATGTTAGTAGGTTCAAGTGAAATAAAGTATAGTTACAATCTTAATAGATTTAAATTCCACTTCACCTTTATCTAATTGTACAGCTGAATTTCAATATCAATTGTAAAGTTGTACAAAAGGTAACGATAGTCTTTTTTTAATTGTTATATGACTGTAAAATTTTGTTTTCATTCCAATGTGAGTTCGAATCCCGCACGGGGCAGGTGCACTTGACTTCAATTTTAATTGACTAGGATTGTCAGT